TTTTTTTATCCTCGAACTTTCCTTACATAAATGGTTGACATGAGGTAACTTTGTTTCGTCCTTTAGTATACAGTTTGGGCACGAGCGCTTAATGTTCAATATCTGATCAATAACAGCCGTCTTTTGGGCTTACTGTAGACGTTTATGTCTCCTATAATAAAGATAAAATATTAATTGACAAAAAGGAAACAAAAAATATGATGAGTGTACCTTTGTGTGATCGATATCACTTCTAGGCGTGGCCAAAAACTGACAAAACTAGTTAATTAAGTATCCAAATAGCATTGTTCATCAAAAGACAAATCTGCTATAAAGCTGTAATTTTCTGACGTGACTCGTGTGACTTAGGTAAAGATGTCACATTTTAATCCCAACAAGACTAGATGTTGTAATTATGCTTTCGAAGATAAAGGTGCTGCTTTGATACATTGTTTGACGTCATTTGTAAAATGATATACTAAAGCATCTTCTCTCTCTCTCTCTTTTACCGTCATAGATTTTTTTTTATTATAAAACACAGTCGTCGTGAACATGCAGGTTATTATGCAGAAAACGGAAATATATTATATTTTCGATGGTTTGCATATTTGATTATTATACAAACAGCATTTTCAAAGGTTGTTGTGCATATACTAACTATAGCAACTCCCAAAGTTTTCTATAAATATCTGCTTAATATGATTTTAAATAGCACTTTGTTAATAAAATTTGTAATAACCAGATCCATTTGTTCTAAAACAATAATTTCTGAAAGCGAAAACCTTAACGAAACTGTTATTATTTGAAAATTAGGCTCTTTCGTTGCATAATTGAGTTGTTCGTTTTGTTTCTGTCTTGGTTTTACCACAAATACAGGTGCATTTAAATGTCTATCATAGAATGATGTAGCACTTTATGTAATATTATGATCTTAAAATAAAATTTTCTCTCCATTAGTTTAAATATAACCCAAGTACTGGTTAAAATTAACGCTTCGAGAAATGATCGAAACAGCAAAATTTCTTATGAAATGATAAAGAATAGCATTCACTATTTTAGTAGGGAAGAAGAAAAAAGTCCTGTGTTTGTGGATGTACTTCTTGTGAAAATATCTCTTGTTATGTTTGCTTGTGTTTTTCTATGTGGGTACAGTACCTAGGTATAGATTTAGTAATGATATTCAATTCACGGTTTGGTTTGAATTTCGCGCAAAGCTACACAAGGGCTATCTGTACTAGCCGTCCCTAATTTAGCAGTGAAAGACTAGAGGGAAAGCAGCTAGTCATCATCACCCACCGCCAACTCTTGAGCTGCTCTTTTACCAACGAATAGTGAGATTGACCGTCGCATTATAACGCCCCCCGCGACCATTTCATTTACGATCTTTCCGTCATGAACAATTCTTGAAAACAACTTCGAATTTCTTTGAAAATAATCTGCTGGTTAAGCCTAATTTTCTACAGATAAGAGCAGCAACTACGTTAACTGTTCGTACAGCAGTATGTAAAAGGCGGAATTAAACTAACTTATGACCTGACTGAATCGAACCGTAAAGAGATTAGCAAATAAACAAAAACAGTTTATTTATAGAACACACAAGACAGACAAACATAACACCGTGAAACATGTGCACAAGACGTTCTTTTCATGGGGATAGAGAGAGAGATTTATATGGTAAATCTCGAGGGAAATATAATTAAGAGAATCAACCAGTATATAGTTCCTTGAATAAGGTCAGTTCTCCATAGTGTATTTGCCGCCCACGTCTCCTAGTCATCCCAATAATTAAAAAGGGAATACAGAGTATTTAGAAATGTCTAAACCTCTACTCTAACCAATGTTAATAAAGAATCTATTGGCAGAAGCCTAATGAATTTTCCAACGCTACCTTCGATCATAAAGTCCAGCAAAATTAAAAGAGGAATGACCCTTGGCAGTGTGTGTGACTAGCACAAAAATAAGGCTGTATTCCAAAGTCTGTTATCTGCACGCTATACATTCAACACGTGCGCTAAACGCGTGTAAGCGTGAAAATTTTTGAAAATTTTAGTGAACAAAAAATTTTCACTTTTCTAAACTAAAAGGAAACCGACATCTGGCATGCTTCACATACTAGTGATATATGTATGTTTTCTACAGAAACATTCAGTTCAAATATCTTACGTAATTTATTTTAGTATTTTAAAACACGGTTGGAAATTGTATCACAAACACTACTGAACAGTATATATATATATACTGTATATGTAATTGCGCATAGTCATACATGCACATCTAGGTCATATACCAAGATTGTCATATAAATATAATTTCATTGTTAATATGTGAAGTATGTTATATTTACATATATAATCCAATTGCTACATATAGGGGTTAAATGTTTCTACTTCAAATATCAACGAACAATAAAGGGTTTTCAGTCTCTATTTAAAACAAATGAGTTGCAAAATGGACAGCGATTAGAATAAGATATATATGTTTTATAACTAGGTAATAAACATAATATTAGATATTTAGATATGTATACGTATTGCTATTTCAGTCGACACACAAACAAATTCTGATAAAAAATCACAATAACACCTTCAGAGATGTTTTAAAAATATCACACGCCCTAAGCAATCTTACTATGCCTAAATTCGTGTGACAACTTTTAAAACACAGATTTACCTATCTTACAATATTTTGAATAATAACTTCTCTTTACCGTATGAAAATCTTCAGATAACACAATAGAATAACACTACAAGATTTTTTTCTGTGAGATTTATGAGAGAAATCATTCCCGCGGCAAGTTTCCTGTTTCGAACCAAAGCCCACGTACACTTAACTTATTCAAATTACTCTCATAAATTAGTGTGTAATAGTAATAATACTTGCGTTGTTGAACTAACATAATGGCACTTCGAAGTTCTCATCACAATCAGTTCACAGCATGTAGTTTGCCAGTTAAGCCAGTTTTCAATTGAAAATATGCCTTTTGGGAGGACAGGTGGTTTATATCATAGAACATATGTGTTAGGGTTATGAATAATGAATTACACAAATCTTAGAAGAAATCCGCTTGGCCGTTATTGCATAGACATGCAAAGTTTTTTCTATTCAAATGTAGAAAAAAGTAAAGTATGTGGTTATCAAACAAAAACGTATTTAATATTTAATGATTGACGAGTATTAAAAAGAACAGGAAAAGAGCTAACTGATGTTACTATGCAACAACTGTCATTACAAGGTACGTTTCATATTGGTAATATGTATCAGTAATTAACTCCAGAGGCCCGGCATAGCCAGGTGGTTAGGGCGCTCAACTCGCAATCTAAGGGTCACGGGTTCGAATCCCCGTCCCACCAAACATGCTCGCCCTTTCAGCCGTAGGGGCATTATAAGGTGACGGTCAATCCCATTATTCTTTGGTAAAAGAGTAACCCAAGATTTGGCGGTGGATGGTGATGACTAGCTGCCTTCCCTCTAGCCTTACACTGCCAAATTAGGGACGGCTAGCGCAGAAGCCCTCGTGTAGCTTTGCGCGAAATTCAAAATAAAACAAACTAAAAACAAATTAACTCCATATGTTAAAATTAAAAATATACCAGTAATTAAGTTTATATATGAATAGTAAACGTATACCTAGGTTAATCACACTATATAAGATCGATGTTCCGGGCCCAATGCTGACCTTAAACTACTTCCTTCCAAGTCAATAATGCTGAATCTGATGATCGGGATTACACAATAATGCCCGTTGCAGTAGGTTTATTGCATACTTTAACATAATTTCCATAGTCTTTCCACTTTACGTTAATGACAGCTTTCAAGACAGCATTTAAACAGTTTGCTGGATCTGCGTCGGAAGACTTATGGGTAGGTGGTCGAATGAAATTGCTGCTATTTTAGTTTCTTCAGCCGTCTTTTCCATTAACATAATAGTTGATTTCGGCTGTGGTTGGAAGCTTATTAACCTTTGCCATAATCATTACTTGTTTATTATCTTTATTATTATGTCGTCAATATCATGAGATATGCTCAGCTTCATCACAATGGCTTTCATGAGTAAGAAGATTCTCTTTCGTAACAATACCCTTTACTGTTTGGATTGTGTTGTTTCGGTGTTCCTTCTAACTTTAAACAATTTATTGTGCAAGTTTTCTCAATTCCACGTTTAACAATGAAAATCCCCTTCTTTGAAATGTTCTGTCTGCATTGTTTAACAATCTTGTTTTAGGAAAATACTTCTTTGTAAAGGCCATTAATACATTTTTCTTCTCGTAACATCAATGTACTTTAAAATTGTTGGGAATTCAACGTAAACCAAGCTACAGATGTTAAACATATTGCCTTTGGTGCCATGATTCGAAATTGTGGCGCCGCGTCACTTCATTAGCTTATTCAGTCCTTCTTATACAGTGCGATTCATTATCCCTCTATATAAATATATACACTTAAATTTTGCCACTGATGCTTTTGCAAGACACAAGTGTCACCAGTAATGTCTTGTTTATATTTGGCGTCTGACAGTAGGATATTAATGGCTTACTAAATACAATTAGAATATACAGCAGACAAGAAGGAACGCTTCTCGTAAAAAATGCCAACTTATTTAGAAAACATTCTTAACTAAATAAATGATTACAATGTCTTAAGGTAAGGTTTATACAATGCAGCTAACAATTTATTTTTATTATGTTAGACAGTATAATATATACGTATTCTAGAACGATTCTTTATCTTTTATCCTAACGCGAGGTTTAATGAATATCTCGAGAGAAACACATAGTTAGGTAGATGGATGAATGTAATATAAACAAGTACAGCAAATATATATATATATATATATATATATATGTATTAAATAGAGAAATAGACGCAGAATTAAATAGAAAAATAAATGCAACATTAAATATAGAATATATTTATATTGTTATTGTTTTATTGTTTGGTAACAACTGGCACTACGTCTCAGAAAATTAATTGTTTTGAAGATGATATGACAGTTTTGCGGAAAAATTTTGTTGTTTTTTAAGTCGTGCCGGAGCTGTACCAGGTGGGCGTGTTCGACAGTTTCGTGACAACAGGCAATACCGCTGTTATCAGATGCCATGTTCCCACAGGCACGCGCCATTACGTGACGGTATCTGCTTGGTTGAGCGATGACCGGCATGCCATTCTTCCCACTGCTGACCCAAGTAAGTTTCTTTGTTTATAACTCAGAAGAAGCTACTTTTCTCAGAAACAAATGGTAAACATGTTTGTGGTTACGAAGAAATTGTTAACTGTCAATGTATTTGAATAGACTAGCATAAATAAATTCTTCACTAAGTCTCTATGCTGAAGCATGAGTGCAAACCATTTAAACCATATGATTATTTTTTGCCTCCAGATAATTTTTATTGTGATGTAAAAAAATTGATGGTATGATACGATTTTTTATTACTAGCATATTAACTCAATAGGTTTTAAAGAAAAAAATAGAAAACTTCAGTAAAATAGATACATGATAGTTTCTAAGCTGTGTCTTCATATTTTGATTTTTTAAAGCAAAGCACCTCTAATCTTTATAGAACCAATAACGTAACAGTGTATTTGAAACTGTCTCGAGTACCCGTCCCCTCGACGGAAGTCATATAAATTCATGATTAATGAAAGGTTATCTTAGAACATAAAAAGTTGCTTCCCTTATATGCAAGTTTAAAAAAACATAAAAATGCACATAAAAACTGCAATACACAAAATGTGAAACCGCATATTTGCATGTATCACTGCATCGATCCAAAAAAACCTTCATGCCAAATTTGATGAATATCCATCGACAGGGAGCGAAGTAGTGGTAAAATACGCCCATAAAAACCGTAAAATGCAAAATGTAAAACTGAAAATCTGTATGTACTCCCGCACAGACCTACTGAACCTTCATACCAATTTTAGTGAAGATCCATCCACGCCCTGCGAAGTCGTTACATGGACATACAACAGCAGACAGTACTATGATATTTATATAGATATAAAATACCCAGTTAAGTTCGATATACTCGAGTGAGAAGGGTTGAAATTAAATTTAACTTGTATATAATAATATACTTATTTCACATGTCAACGCATCATTAAATTGGTCTTATTCCTTTTCTTACATTTATACGTATTCTTCCATTCTTATTATTGTTTTGAAATTGAGGAACGAACATAATTCTGAAGAAGAATTTATTGTTTAGAGGTGATTCAGAACGATTAGCTAAAAATGATTACACCTTAAAATAGAATTTTATTTACACACTAAAGTATCTAATCTACAAATGTTAATCTATATTTATAGCTTCATGGAAAACAGTTAGAGTATAGAAAGGAAAGAGATAGCATTAAGTAGCTTCGTTATCCATAATGAATTGTGCAGTCATAGAGTCGTAATTTGTAATAAAGAACATAGAAGATGGCTTCGAAATTTTAAGTAAACATTCGTTAAGAATTTTGTTTCTTGTGTAATCTCTTTTGTTTCGTTTGGTTTGTTTTGGAATTTCGCGCAAAGCTACACGAGGGCTATCTGTGCTAGCTGTCCCTAATTTAACAGTGTAAGACTAAAGGGAAGGCAGCTAGTCATCACCACCCACCGCCAACTCTTGGGCTACTCTTTTACCAACGAATAGTGGGATAGACCGTCACATTATAACGCCCCCACAACTGAAAGGGCGAGCATGTTTAGTGTGACGGGAATTCGAATCCGCGACCCTCAGATTGCGAGTCGAGCGCCCTAACCACCAGGCCATGCAAGGCCCTTTTGTTTCGTTCAAAATGCGTTGCGTAGTAAATATATAAATTGTCTTGAGATTTTAAACTGTAAGTACCAAACATTTCTTGTGGTTTTGACGAATTGATATTGAGATTTTAAGTTGTAAGTACTAAACATTTCTTGTGGTTTTGACGAATTGATATTGATATACGTTAGTTTCATATGATGGTTTTTTTTAGATTAAAAACTGACTATTAATCCGGACTTAATATAGTAGATAGACGAGTGTGTAGAATATTCGTAGTCGATATACAACCAGGAGAGTAATGACGCCTATCGACCTACACAAACATTTGCCAACATTCATCGTGCATGACTAGGATAACGTTGATGTTGTCTCTACGCAATAACTGTCTTGACTATTTGTGGGTTATTTAAATGATTAATACATATTTGGTTAAACAAAATTTGAATATCTAGTAAATTCAAAAGATTCTCCTCGCTACATTAAAGTCCTAATATAACATATATATATATTTAAATACGAAATTACGTTCCCACGTTTTTAACTTGGTACAGCCCCAAGATAAACTTTCCAACTATTATAGTCGTACATGTAATTCTAAATATAAATGTTCTTTACCACATTCACATTCGGTACACAATCTTTTCAAATGTTCACGCAAGTTAATCGAACGAGAATCTTGTATGATATTTATAAGCCTACTTTTATAGATGCATATATATATATGTGTGTGTAATATCTATGTATTATTAACAATTTCTGATCATAAGTAAGCTAACTGTATAGGTTCGAACTACAAAGTAACTCATTATTGAAGAATGTCCCGTATAACAAACTAACTAGTACTTAATGGCATGAATCAGTATACAAAATGCTTAAAGTTTTAATATTTATAATGTATTTAATCATCAGCTACAATACTTTCTAATTAATTTTTTGTCATTTCTCAGTATCATTGCCTTTTATATTTTTAATGCAAGGGACTTTGAAATGGAAATTTACTCAAGACATTTTCAGAGTCTGAACGCTACTTACTCAGAAATTTAGTCACGATCGGTTTATAAATGGAATTCTCGGCTTTTCCGACAGTTCAATTTCCAACAACATATTAATAGGATTTAGAATATGGAACAGTGGCAGAATAAGTCTATTGGAATATTCACCGTGAACTTTAGAGGAACCTATAGAAATTACGTTGAATGGCTAAACTTTTTCCTTTAAAATCAGTCTTAGCTGTAAGAATTTGAAAAAATTTGCTAGTATAGAACAAAGCATTCTAACAAAGTGCATTGTATTTCCTTCGGTAGTTTTATGAAATCACAAATTACAGACTATTTTTGTGAATTATAAATTGGCTGAATAAGGATGCAACTATTGGGATTCATGAGATCTACATTCTTCCTTTCTCATAATGTTTTCATTACACGTTCTACAACTAAACTTTCATGAGTTGACTCAAATTGGAATCTAGTAATTGATACGTCTTTCGTAAATGAATTCCAGTGATAAAAATCATGATGCAAGCCACATCCACCAACATCTCTACAACGTTATACTGCAGAGTATCGATAATTTGGATGGATTCTTCTAGAAGTGGCGCGTATCTCAGTAATTATGACAGTAAAGGAAATCACACTCACGAATGTTATAAGTTAGAATATCAATAACTGGTGGAGATCTTGAAGTGGCCTGAATTTGAGTGATTACGACTGTGGTGGAGTCACGCCCACCAATATCACTATTATGTTATAAAATATAATATAGATTCTTTGGAGAGATCTTGAATATGAGTAATTACGGACGTCATTGATTCACACCCAGTAACATCACTAGAATGTTATAAGGTATAATAGATAATTTGGAAAGATCTTAAATTTATAAACACACACACACACACAAATATGTATGAGGTCGTCCAGAAATTAATGTCGCTTTTTTTAGATGAAAAAACCCGAACAAGTTATATATAAAAACAAAACATTTATTAAATGAAATAATCTCCATTCTTATCGGTGATGCTTTTCCATTTTACAATCAGGTTTATAATACCCTGATTAAAGAAATCATTTGACTTTGAACCAAAAAACATGTCGATGTCCTCTTTAACACCT